ATTTCTAACATTCTAAAGTTATAATAATAGTAAAATTAGGCTATGAATAATTACGGATGCATATTAATTACTATAAATTTATTTAAAATTTTACTAAACGATGAATAGCAATATATATATATATATATATATATATATATATATATATAAATTACAATTTACTACTTTTAAATTTTAGTAAGTGTGTCAAACTCCTAAATAAAATTATGGATTACATGCGTTGCATGAAATATAAAAATAAATAAAACAAATCTCTTCAAAATATAAAAGATAATATTATTTTGCTAGACAATATGTGGAGTGCACACAAGGAAAGGCACAACCAGTTTTGCCATCGGATAAGCCCATAGAAACTCAAAAGGAGAATCTCATGTTACAATGAATTACTTTAAGAATGAGAGTATTGGTTATAGTGAGAGCCGGCCAATTTTGTTTACTTATAGCCAGAACTCAAACCAATATTAGATCAAATATGATTCTAAGATTAATGTTGACACCAACTATAAACTTTACATGGGTGTCTCTTGTAGAATTTGCAATAAAAGAAATAGTGATGAGAGAGAAAGATCAACATGGTATATATGTCGTCCGACAATGGTACCTGTATCCACGGATGGTAAACCACTACAAGAGATATATAGAGTTACAACTCTTGCCTGAAGTTCTTTTTTTTACAAACATTGAAAATCAACGAAACTTCTAAGAAATTTGACACTCATCAAAGCTGAGTTGCGTTTAGCATACGATGGGCAAGGTGATTGTTTAAGTCCATACAAGGCCTTCTTTAATTTGCACACAAGACCTTTCTCATTTTCTTTAGAAAGGCATGGAGGAAGACTCACATAGACTTCTTCTTCAAGGTCACCATGTAAGAAGGCATTGTTAACATATATCTGATGCAGAGATCACTCACAATTAACTGTGATAGATAAAAGAACACGAACAATATTCATCTTAGCATTTGGTGTAAAAGTTACTTTATAGTCGACTCCATAAGTTTGGGTAAATCCTTTAGCCATCAACCTGGCTTTATGTCTCTCAACAGACCCATTACTATTATATTATATTTTATACACTCATCTACATCCAAATGTTTTGTTCCCTTTAGGTAGCTTGACAATCCCAAGTATGGTTCTTATCAAGTGCTTGAAGTTCGTTTTTCATGGCTTTCCTCCACACATGTTAGAAATAACATTGTGAAAATTGATTGACTTAAAATTATTAAAAATAGAACTCAAAAAAGTAAAATAGCCAAGAGAGATATTTACATAGGAAATATGACTTTGAATAGGATAAGAAATTTAATGGTAAGTATAAAAATCTTGAAGTCTAGATGGAGGTTGAGAGGTATGAGAAGAACTGCGCAAGGAGGGATTAGGTGGGCCCACGGCCACAACAGAGTCTTCTTCTTTTAAACTAGTTTGGTGAGTTTCAAAGGTATCTGCAGCTTCAGCTTGATCATCATGTCTTATTTTGACATAGGCATATTCTCCAAACCACTCTCCAATATGTCATAAAAATAGGACTCTGTTTCAACAAATTGAACATATTTAAAAATATGCATTTTCTTGGTTATGAGATCATACCTTTTGAGTAAAAGAGTATCCAAGAAGGATACATCTACTGGAACGTTTATCAAGTTTATATCGATTATGCCCAGGCACTTGAACATAAGACGTGTCCAAATACTGCAAATGAGATAAATCAATTTTTCTATTTTAAAAATTTCAAGGGGAGATTTATCCTTAAGAATTTTGCCGGGAAGTTTGTTAATCAGATAGCAAGCAGTTAAAACAGCTTCAGACCAATAAATGTTTTGAACACGCGTCTGAAACATCAAAGACCTTGTAGCTTTCAAAATGTGCCTATTTTTCCTTTCAGTAATTCTATTCTGTTGAGGTGTTCCAACATATGATGTTTGATGTATAATACCAAGATTC